TTGAACAAAGGATAAAATAAAATATGTTGCAACAACTATATAAAATAACAACATAACAATATCAATACATGGCGTTGCTAAAAATCCTTATAATCCGTACAATAATTTAAATAAATTAAGAGCAGTAAAATGTGCACCATAAAGCAACAACAAGCAATTGAATAAAATAAATAATAAAAATGAAACAAAACACCAGAAACTACAAAAATTCAACTTTACTAAAAGAAAAATTAAAACAAAGCTTAATAAAAATATAAATAAATAACAAAATAAATGTCTTACAATAATTAATTTAATGTTATAAACATAATTAGATGGATAAAATAAATTAAATTAGCACGAATAACCCAAACATATTGAATAAAAAACTAAACTAACAGTGAATATAATCATCTAATAAACAAAATATAGATATAGATATGTGTAAATTCAAAGAATAAAAGAGTGTCGCCGAAGGTATGTTTTCTCATTTGAAAAAAAAATGAATAGGAATGGAGGTTGGTCAGGTCTTGATTATCTTTGCCGGATCTGTCATTTCAAATGGAGTTGGAGCTAGTGGTGGAGTAAAAATTATCAGTAAGCGGGCTAAAAAACTAAAGAAATAGATACATGAAGTAGCCGATGTGGTTTAATATCTACATTATATACCTCAAAAATAATTTTAACCATGTAAAAATAAAATTATTTTCTTCTAAAGGGGATTCGGATGAACCCGTAATGATAATGTGGATTCACCAATATCTTTTGCCACACAGGAGATGCAGGTTAGAGCTCCGAGCTCGTTATTTTATGGAGCTTTGAGCACACTAAAAAACAAAAACTCGAAAAGGGAATGGGGATGGGACTGACCAATATCTTTGTCTTTCTCCAGTGCAGCGGAGCTTGAAGCTCGTTATCGGAGTAAATGGTTGCTTTTATTAAAGGGAAAAAATGGATGGGGTATGTTTCTGGTTGGTTTTATGGATTTAAAAAAATGGTTTTGTTATATACAATCAATACAAGAGTATAATTAAGGAAACTAAATATACACCTAGCTATAAGTAAGAACTAAATATACACTTAACAAAAGGTAATAAATCAGAACATATTGATCACATATAAAACACACACCCTCAGTCGAAGCGGGAGGACGGTGAATGCTAAGAATGTCCCGAAACTCCTCAAATAAAACAAAAGGAAGACACTTGATGAATATGTCTGCAATTTGATAACGCGAGGGGACATGTAACACGCGAACTTGGCTGCGAGCCACCTTTTGCCAAACAAAATGTATATCTATTTAAATGGGCTTAGTGCGTTGATGATGAACCGGATTACCAGCAAGATATATGAAACTCACATTATCACAATACACCAATGTAGCCTATTGTATAGGACAATGGTTCCAACAACAAATTTTGCAACCAACAAGACATAGAAACCACATTGGCTACCCATTGATATTCTGCCTCTGTACTAAAACGTGATAAAGTAGCATGACGTTTAGCGGAGCAAGAGATCAAGTTATCACCCAAAAAGACACAGTAATCCGATGTTGCACGTAGGTCATGCATAGTAATCCGATGTTGCACAAAGAGATCAAGTTATCACCCATAAGACCTTAAGGGCGTGCATGTGTTCCTCCCTTAGGTCATGCATGAATAAACATTCATGTTGTACTGCACACGTAATATCAGGTCTTATGAACGTAAGTTACTAAAATTCACTGGAAAGACTTCTATAAAGTGAGGGATTCTCAAATGGTTTGCTCGTAGTTGTGCTAAACTTAAGTTTTGTAGCCACATGAGTAGGAGATTCCTTACACGATGAAATGCCTGCTCGTTCAATGATCTCTGTAGCATATTTCTATTGTGATAAAAATAAACCACCGGCATGATGAATGACTGCAATGCCTAGAAAATAGCTCAAATGGCCCAAGTCCTTCATAGAAAATTCCGAGTTAAGACAAGAGATGATCGACTAACGGAGCTTATCCAAGGAAGCACTAAAGATTATATCATCGACATACAATAAAAGGTAACCCATAGAAGAAACTCGATGAAAAATAAATAATGAATGATCCGAAGTACTTTGATAAAAACAAAGAGTACAAACATAGTCAGGAAAACTCTTATACCAAGCCCTTGGAGCCTATTTGAAACTATACAGAGATTTCTTCAGCAAACACACATGATTAGGACGATCCTGATCCCGATACCCCAAAGGTTGATAAATGTTAACTGTCTCCTCCCCATGCAAAAAGCATTTTTGACGTCAAGTTGATGGATCTGCCTGGCCTTAGAGAGAGTCAAACTGAGAATCGTGTGAATAGTCACCGATTTGACCACCAGACTAAACATCTCACCATAATCCACGCCAACCTGTTGAGTTTTACCATCACCTACAAGATGGGCTTTATGCCTCTCAAGTGAATCATCAGATCTTTCATTATAACTTAGTTGAAGGACGGGGAACTAACTCCCACGTCTTTTTTTAAATAATAGCATTATATTCCTCATCCATATACACTTCCAATTAAGGTCATGAGGAGCATATACAAGGGTACGAGGTAGGAGGGATTTAGATGTCGATGGAAGAAGGTTAAAATACTTAGGCATCGAAATCCCATGCTGGCTCTGAGCAACTGGACTCGTGAGGTGAAGTAAGGGAGAGATCAAAATGGGCCTCTGAAGAGTGTAGGATGGGAGAGTGGAAGGAGTAGATGGAATTAGTGCAGTCGATTAAGAAAGACAAGGAGTCGATTAAGGAAGGTTGTTCCGGCCGCTAGGCACGTCCCAACCACATTCTGGGATGGGCATTATGGATGTGGTTGGGTTAGGAACCGGTGCGACTTGTGGGTTTGGAGAGGTAGTTAAATGATGGACCAGGTAAGGAGATGGTCCATCATCTAGAAACTCAGACGAGTGAGTTTGAGGAGAAATGGTATTTGCAAAAGGAATTTGTGTCTCATCAAATATTACGTGAAGACTAATAATGATTTTTTTGGATTACAACTCAAAGTATTTCTACCCCAGATGATTTGAAGGATACCTTAAAAAGACACAAAGACTTGACCGAGTTTGACGTTTGTTTATGGTTGTAAAGAGAAAAAGAGGACAACATAATCCAAACACTCGAGAATGAGAATAAGATCGATTTTTTTTATACAAAACGCGAAGATGTTATTAATAATTTAAAAGCTTATGAGGAAGGATATTGAGAAGAAAAATATCCATTTGCAAAGCATGATGCAAAAAGGATGGAGTAAGGGAAGCATGGGCCAATAATGTACGAATAATGTTGTCGATCGTACAAAATAGTCTTTCAGATTTCCTATTTTAAGGGGATGTATGAGGACATGAAAGTCTAATCGACAGACTATTTTATTTAAAAAAATTATAAAAGGGCCATTATCAAATATCCTGCCATTATCGCATTGTATATTTCTTTATTTATTGCTCAAATTGGGTTCAAATAAATGTCTTGAAACTCAAAAATGTGGAAAATTTGTGTTATTTGTGCGATAAAGGTAAAGCCCACAAAAATTTTGAAGAATCATCCATAAACAAGATATAATAATGATGACCCAATGAACTCAAAACAGGTGGTGTGCAAAAATAACTACGAATAATATCTAATGGCATATAAGTGCGAGAACTGGAATAAGAAAAAAGCAACATAAAAGGTTTTCCCACAGGATAAAAATGACAAATACGAGAGTTTTTAACATGATTGCATTCAATCAATTTAATTTTCCTCTGACATTTCAAAATAGCACTCCCCAATGACCCAAACGATCATGCAAAAGGGATGGTGCCAAAGCGGCAAAAGCAGATGGAGAAGTGACTGGAGAAGTTATGGGATACAACTCTCCCTGACTTTCACACCTCATTACCGGTCTCCCCGTCCAAAAATCCTTCACAGGTCATCCACACGGACCAAATTCAACAGAGATAGAGTTATCGGTTGTAAATTTTCTAAGTTACACTAAGTTTTAAACAAGGTGAGGGGCATGAAGGACATTGTTTAATTGTAGGGAGGACACGACAAAGATCATTTTGTGCGACCAAAACCATGAAGTGTAATTGATTGACCATGATGTCGAGAGTATGCATTAAAGCTTCAATGTCAGTTGGAGTTGGTGTTGTCGTGTAAGCCCATTGCGGTCTGGGCCCATGTATACCAGGCTATTGTGTCGGCTTTATTCCACAATTATTCCTGGTTGAGTTTTATGGATATGGACAAAGATTTATAGTCCAAGGAGACCAAGTGCCATCGACAACCACGGATGACCTCCAGACCATGGAGAATTGGTAGGCGGATGCTGAACTGCTAGTTATTTTCTGCCAACGCCATTACCACCTTTACTTCTTCCGCGACCACCATTGTTGCTGCGATTATTTTTTCGTTAGTGGTTCCTTTTCCCACAATTAGTATTTCGGTGTGAAGAGGAATGATTGTTGACATCCAATTTTTAACCTCCCGAATAAGAATTAATAATGAGTTTCTTAATTATAAAAGATTTTAAATAATTATATGTTTTAAAATCTAAAATGTTATCTAAGTTATTTTAAACTAGTATTATCACTCTTTTTTTTGTTAGATAATATATATGATTAACATAATTATGTATATGATTAGTATATTTTTAATTCACCAAAAAAGATTTTAATTTACAGGAATTGTTTTATTAAATAATTTAGTTCAAATTATGGTAAAGGTTATGAGTTATTCGGTTTATTAAAATGTTTATTTTATTTAGATTAGATTAAGAAACTCATTAAATTATTTTATTTATTTGTCTTGGTCGAATTTAGGCAATTCGGCTATGTTTTTAATTTTTATTGGGTACGCTGAAAACAATCAATTTAAGCTAGTCGTTTCCCAACTCCCACAACCTCTCTTTTACTTGAAATTTGAAGACCCAAATTTGGGCCTTCCCTTTAGCATTTGTAACCCAATACTAAAAACCTCATCCTAATTCATAATTCCCCAGCCCACTCCTTTATTCCCCCAACACGACCCATTACAGTATAAAAAAATGATCCCAACGGCGTCAATTCCAGGTTAAAGATAGACGAAAACCAACTACTTTCATGTGTCTTCTACCTCTCTCTGCCCCCAGTACAATTACGTACGAAGAACACTGCGGATAGCGAGATCTCGTGCATCTTCTCATCGTTGTTCGAAATCAAGCGCCCAGATCGTTGTTCCATGGAGGAATTGTGCAATTTTGTATAGATTCCAAGATGTCCAACCTTAGCTCTTAAGATAATACAAAATTTGAATTTGGAATTGGTCCTGATTTTCCCCCATTTTCCCAAAAGACCTCCGCTGTTTAAATCCCATTCTAATTTTTTGATAGAGGCTGGGGGAAGTATGGGAAAAGATTTTCGGGTAGAGAGATTTTTGGGAGGTAGGAAAATTTGTAGATATAAAATACATAGAATTTAAGTAAAACGGCAAGAACATATTGCAAAACACATCAAAGAAAACGGTCCAGTTTCTGAGAAGGCTAGTTGTTGGTTTGACTTGTAAATTTCCGCAAGGATTTCTTGTTTGTGATTTCACTTTAATGGTGGAAGGATTACAAGTGCTAGCTCGCTGTCTCTGTTTGTTGTAACGGAAAAGGTATATAATCCCATTTTTCCTACCATCTTTTCCTTAGTCTGGGTTTTCCTTTGATTTTTTTAGACGGTTGTATTGTTATGAAAATTTAGCAAGAATAAAGATGCCTCGTAGGATCAAGACTTTGGTCTTTCATGTGTGACTATGATTCCAGTATGTATGTATGGGTGCTCGAAGGCTGGTTTCCGACTAAACAAATCAAAGGAAAACATGTTGTTCACGTCTGTTTTGTTATGCATCTCCTGAATAATCAATTTTGGAGAGCATGTTGTTCATTGCTTGCCATAAACTCATTGTATGATTTCGGATTTTGACTAGTTGAAATTTTGAGAGTAAGTGATTTGGCTAAGTATAGTAGTGCAGTAGCATTTTTGTCCCAATATCTTAATTTCATATTTTACTTAAAATGTCCTTGTGGTCATACTACGTAATATGACTAGTGTAGTTAATTTTTTTGCCTGCACGTTGTTTCATTTTAAGTAAAAAATGCCTATATTTGCAATTCGAGTTGCCTAAACTCTGAGCTTCATATTTTATATTCCCAATCATAGTATCAAGAGAGTTTAGTGTTTATGGTGATTTAAAGCATTTTTTCTTTGGTGTTAATCTTTCATGGGTATGGTATAGTGATTTTCCCAATTTCCCGTAATCTAGTTATGCCACATTGTGAATTTTCTTTGTAAACAAGGAAGCTAGTTAATGCTAATTTATTTTCTTATAGTGTGTGGAAATTAGTTTATGTCTTGTTGATTCCTCGTAGCGAACAGTAAGAGATCTCATATAGTAATGCTATTAAATTTTAGCGGCTTCTACGTGTTGAATTCGGGTATCACCTAATATGATTACTGTTAAGTGCATAGATAGACGATAATTTTTTTTCCATTTCATCTTGTGAGTATGTCTTAATGATGTTATATATTTTTATGAAATTTCATTACTTTTATTGAAAAGTTGTCAATATTGCTACTATTTAGGAGTCCTCGGAATGTATTTATTTCCACCCATTTTGAGCCCTCACTGTCTTTTTTTTTAATTGTATAATGTCCCGCTTTTCCCTATTGAACCCCCATGTTTGATGCCTATAGTGTCTTTTTGCCCTTTCAAGTGTTATAATCTGGAAGGTTGTGTTTTGTTGTGTTGCTATTAACTTATGGTGACTTGTTTCGTAACATTAGTATGATTCTCGTTCAGCTTTATTTTCATTACGATTTGGGTGCCATTGTTCAATGGTATGGTCCTCTAAGGCCCTTGTTTCTTTTGGTATTTTTGCCTGTAGCATCCGCAAGTGACCTATGTTTTGCTATTACGTGTTCCCAGGTAGCTTATCTATGTTTAGCTCTAGCTAATTCTCTAAGTAATAAGATTTTCGTAGAATATATAAATAATGTTGATCGATTCTCTCTCTAGTTGTTATTTATAACCCCTTTTATCCTCACTCCCCTTTGTCATGTTATTCTACTGCAATTTCTTTTAGTTTATGTTTTTGTAAAATCCTTAGTTTTTGGTAAATATGTATTTTGTTATTATAAAATATATGGTCGCTTAGGCTCATTGTAATTAGTGCTCTTAGCTTAGTTGCTGTATCCTTGTCATCTCGCATGGGTACTATTAATGATCACAATTCTGTAGATGCATGTTGTGCTCTATTTATTTATATTTTTAAAAAGAAAGGTCTGGCTATATATATGCACATGTATGTTTCTTTTAAATAAGACTATTTGTCAATTTACTATTTTTTCCCGAATGAATGAATGTTTTCTAGTTGGTTAACTTGTTTTCCCTATGCTACAATAGTTAAATTATGTATTAATTTTATCCTTTTATTTATGTTGCATGTAAATGAACTCTAGTTCACTATGAATTCTTTTCTTCGTCTCACATTCCTATAGAGAGCCGCCAAGTCTCAAATTCCTCTATCGAGTCAAGCTGACCAGACGACGTACGAACCGAGAAGTTGAAGATTTTTGCTTGGAAAGCCCAATTTGTTTCCCTGAACTACGTATTTTGTTATTTTTGGGTCTAAGCCCTTTTTTCCTTTATCAATATTGTATTGTTAGAATTTCAGAACCTGGGGATATGGGCTAAAGGCCCAAAACAAGTTTTAGCCTATGTTTTAGCCTATCAATATTGTTGTTTTTGAATATGTTTCTCTATTTGAAGATGTTCTAGCCTACTCTTTTGGGTAACTTTCTAAAAATCCTTAAGCATAAATATCAAGTTAACTATCAAAAAGCGTCCATATACTCTCGAGTCTTTAGTATCTTAAAAGAATTTTAAACTGTAAGTAGTTGAATTTTCAAATCCTAAATCTTACTGTCTCATCTCGAAAAAAAAAGTTGAATTTTCCATCTCGAATATAAAAAATTCAAGTGAGTCGAACTAAGTAGGACTTGAATTCTCCTCCGTGAGATACGTAGGCAACCTTCCAAGGTTCGGTCCCCATTTTGATATTTTTTATTTTTTCTACTCTTACAATGAAATAAGAGTTACATCTCACTCAAAAACCAAAAGTACGACCGTAAAATATTCAATGGACATTTTTTTTCACATTGCTAAAATTCAGATAGACAAATTCCTTTCTATCTAATTATTTCAATATATTTGTGGGCTAATCATTCTTCATATAAAGCGACTCTTCTGTTCTTATTGCTTTGTGTGATATCTTGTATTACCTACTGCCTACACAAACTAACACCTTTGTTGTTTTAGTTATTTTTCATTGTCAAATACTCAAAACAGATTTGTGTTGATTGTTGAGCATTCAAAGTATGCAAAGATTACTTTTACAATCGAAATTTGTTTAAACAGAGAATAAAAAAGATCCAGAATATGAGAATGTCGGCCTGGCTGAAGTTGCTAATGTTCAACAGTCTGTAGTTTAATAAAATGAGTTAATTGCTTAGTTTATGCAACAGATTGCTTAGTTGAGGGTTGAGCTCCATAAAAATTAAAATTTGTCAATTCCAAGGGTTGATGTCAACACTCCAAGCGATAGAAGGCTTCCACACCATTTTCCTCCTTTAACTTCAAACTCAGAGAATGTCCTAAATAACCCACTCTCTAGTTCTATTGAAAATAATACCACCATCGACCTAACCACCTCAAATATTCATCACAACAGCACTTCATGCCCAGCACCACACCCTTTTCTGAACCTTAATACTAACCCTCAACTTTTCCCCCTCTTTCAAAACCAAAACTCAAATAACTCTTAAATTTTCCCTCAGTTTTAAAGCTTAAATGTCATCAATCCTCAAACATCTCCTTTCATGTACCATACCCCTGCAAAAGACAATCAAAATCCACAAAACTCTCAGTCCTTACCTCCGAAAGTCACTTTAATATTCCATTCCAAACCAAACACATCTTCACTATACTTCTATTCCGAATTTGGCATCTACAAAGAGAAGGAGAAGGAGTGGAGGGCCTAAGAGGAAAACACTTAGCATATCATAAAGGAAGAGATCGTGAAGATGACAAAAGAAATGGATTACACTTTAGAAGAGGTGGGGCTAAATTATAAAATTTATGCATTAATCTGAATTTGGACATTTCAGAACGGTTTAAAGTGCCGAAGTTTGTCACTTTCAATATTACTAGAAATCTTTTAGAACTTCTAAAAATTTATTGTGATCAATTCGTGGGAGTTGGAAAAAATGAAGCATTATTGATGCATCTCTTCAATCGAAGTCTAATTAGAGAATCTCTAGAGTGACTTACATAACAAGAACTGAAACAATGGACAAGTCGGAATGCACTTGCAAATGATTTCAAGGAGTGATTTGGGCATAAGTAGACGCTGCCGCAGATCGCTACTACTTAGATAAGATCAAACATAAGTCTACAGAAAATTATCGAGAGTACGCTCTTCGTTTGATAAAAGAGGTCGCAAGAGTTCAACCTCCCTTGTCCGAACGTGAGAGCACTAAAATGTTTATTCGAATTCTAAAGTCTGAGTACTATCAAAAATGTTGTGTGTGATGAGACAAAAATATGTCGAGATCGTCAAAATGGGAGAAGCTTTTTGAAGATGGTTTCTAGACTTGAAGGATCACGAATTTTACTACACTATGAGGTAATGGAAAAGCTACCAGAATTAGTGATAGGGATATATCTGAAGGGAGAGCAGAGGAGGTAGGTATGGTCATGACTACCCATATGCAGTCAGCTTTCCAAAAGAAATATCAAATTCATAATGTCAATCAGAAAAAATTTCGCAATGAAAACTTTTGGGAAGGCTCCTAACGTATTTACACAATTAAAGAAATATCAACTCAACATTATAAAAGGTTGAAAGCAAGGGGAATACTCTACCCTATAGAAGGAAGACTAGCCAATCCTTTGGGAAAATTTTACAGGGCTGACCACGGATAATTTTATCATTCAGGATCCATTGGACACGACAGAGAGAATTGTTCAACCTTGAATCACAAGATACAAAACATCATCAACAACAATTTGATCAATATTAATGAAACCGCCTAAAGGGATGACATATTTGATGCTTAAGAGTGAGTACAAGACATTTCTGAACTAAGTCATTTAACGATATTCATCGTCAAAGGTCGAGAATAAGAATGCCCAACATTGGGCAAAATTCTTTATATGAAGTTTTTGTTACCTTTCTTTTGAAAATGTATTTAACCCTTTCCTCCCTCTTCCCCTCCCCACCCCCACCCCCATTTTATCGCATATTTCTTGTATATGAACTATATCTTACCTGAATTCTCAATAATGAGATAAGTAGGCTGTCTATTACGGCCATGGTCACTCTTTTATCCCCTTTTAATGTTTCCTAAGTTTGAAGTATGTTCGACCTGAAATCTCAAGAATGAGATACGTAGGCAGTCTATGTCAGCCTCAGTTGGTTTCTTTGAAAAACATACTTTTGTTAATCGCTGAGTGGGATCTACGTTTGACGTAATTCCAGCTCCAATGGGATACATAGGCGCCACAACGGCTTAGTCAAATACACAATAAGAATTTCATTTCTTTTATTAATGGAAACTGGACAAAATTATTGAGAGAATCTCAAAAATTCATTTGAAGATGGACTTCTTCAACAAGTAAAAACATAAGACCAAAATTCTATGGAGTTAGCTTTGGGTGGTCCCAAAAATTACAATAACCAAGTTTGCAACTAGACAAAATTTGTTAGATGATCTCAAAAATTCCAAAAATGTAATTTATTACTTATTGAGGCAAACTAGAACATAATTTTTAGTAGGGGCCTCAAAATTCCTGAATGGGCAACCTCAGGATTAACAAAGCAAGTTATGACAGTTAACCATATTTAAAACTGGGACAGAATATTTGGAGAGGGTCGTCAAAAATTCAATCAACACTTTCTTACAAAGGACGGACGAGGGTGTACGCCAACCGCATTCTTTAAAACTAACAACGAAGTGACAAAAAATTACAATGTCAAAGCTGTAAAGCGCGGAAAAAGACATCATTTACGCCTCTCGTGGCCTCATCAACATAACTAGAAAACATTCCATCTCTATTTATCTTCATTTCATTACGTTGCCTCAAGTGATTTATGAACATTTTCCTTTTTATGTTGAAGGAATGTTGAAGCGAAACACTAATAGATTCTTTCAATGTTGTAAGAAAGAAAGTGTTGGATGATCGCTAGTCACGAGTCATGATCGAAGTTATAATTAGCTTTATTGTAGATTGATCTCGATAAGCCAAAGAACTTAATCTAGTTCTTTATGTTTACTTTAATCCTTTACTTCATCGTCAATACTAACGTTTGGTGTCGAGGTTTGCAGGTGATAGTTTTGGTAAAGCCAGCATCGTATGTTAAACTAATATCAAATATGGAGATGATCAAAAGTGAGACTGTCATAGAAGTGTTGCAAGGAAAAATCAATGACTACATCACAACAGAAAGATGTTGGTGACCGCAATATCTCCATGACAGTCAAAGTTAACAAATCGTTACATGTTTTTGATAACGATTGAAAATGTCGTAAACAAACTTAAATTTTTTTGAGTTTTTAAAGGAAGGCAATAGTATCTTTAATCTTCATGTGAATGAATTAAGTTATTCACCTCGATAATTCTATCATTTAAAGAGAGAATCATAGTGGCGACGAGCATATTTTTCAATTTAGTTTTTAGTATGTTTGTCGCGCAACAATTTAGCCTTATGTGTTTCTTGACAGTGTCTGTCAAAATTCCTATTGTTGGGTTTCCACCCCATAAGTGGATTATATGTTTTGATTGGCCAATGAATGAATTTGCCATATAGTTTTGTTGGTCAATCCACCCCATAAGTGGTTGGCATATTTATTTTTCCATTTCAGATTCATATTTTTGAATCATATTGGAACATTATCAAACATCAACCTTGTTACAGTTGGAACATTATCAACCATCAACCTCGTTCAATATAAAATATTATCGAGCATCCACCTCGTACAGTTGGAACATTATCGAAGATCCACCTTGTTACAGATGGAATATTATCGAGCATCCATCTCGTTAGAGATGGAATATTATCGAGCATCCACCTCTTTACAAATGGAACATTATCGAGCATCAACCTTTTTACAGATGGAATATTATCGAGTATCCACCTTCTTATAGTTGAAATATTATCGATTCATTCACCTTGTTACAGTTAGAATATTATCGAGTCATCTACCTCATCATAGATGCAATATTATTGAGCATCCACCTCGTTATAATTGGAATATTATTGAGCATCCACCTTGTAACAGTTGGAATACTATCGAGCACAATTTGAATATTATCGAGCATTAACCTCATTACAAATCGATATTATTGACCATCTACCTCGTTAAAGTCGGAATATTATCAAGCAATCCACCTCATTAACGTTAGAATATTGTCGAGCATCCACCTCGTTACTGATGGAATATTACCGAGCACCCACTTTGTTAGAGATGGCATATTATCGAGAATTCAAATCGTTACTCATGGAATATTATCGAGCACCCACCTAATTTATAGATGGAATATTATCGAGCACCCACCTCGTTATAGTTGGAATATTATCGAGTATCCACCTTGTTAAAGTTGGAATATTATTGAGTCATCCACCTCGTTACAGTTGGATAATCATTGAGCCATTTAACTCGTTGTAGAGATCTTCCAAAATTGTCATGCAGAAAACAAGCCATGCCATCTCCAAATCCTCAG